TGCAGTTAGTGATATTACAGGGTATATATTATATGTGAAACCCCATTTCCTTGGTAGTTAGCAGTGCTATTTTTACGATAAAACAAAGGTCACTTTAATAATTAAATAAAATGTTAATTTTTATTAATTTTATAAACCCAATTCCTTGGTTGTTTGCTGTGTTATTTTAACGATAAAAAACAAGATTACGTTAACAAAAATAAATAAAAAATTTGTATAAATTCTACCATTTATATTTGTTATAAAAATGATTTTTCAAACCAAGACTAACCCCTTAAGGACACCTAAATAAATATTATTATACAAATACCTTTGTCGCCGCACCACTCAGTAAACAATATATACATTATATATTCAATATATCAATGCACTATTCCCCTTGTCTTCTTTGGCCCAGGAAAATGTACAAATTCCGAATGCAAACCAAATCAAAGAAGCAACTCCTGCCCCGCCAGGACACTGCAAGGACTGTGATGCTTGTGGCTGCCGGAGTGTGTCACATTTGTGGCAAAGTGTGGATTCGGGCTAGGGCAAAGCAAACACAAGCCACAACAACGACGAGGAGGCTGTCGATTGAATAACAACAATAAAGGGGGAATACTCGTCACTCCAGGACTTCCAGGACGACAACGACGACACTTGGCGTTGTGAAAACAAAGTAGTGCTTCCCCTTTGGTGATCGAATCGAATCTTCGCATCGATTCCAGGCAATAAAACTATTCGCAAATCAGCTACCAACTTAAGCATTAGCATAGTCCTCTTCTCCTTCCCATTCCCATTCTCATTTCCTTCCCCACAGTGTCCTTGCAGCCTCTTAAGAATTCGATAAGTTTGCAAGTAAAGGTAAAAAGGTATAAAGGCAGGGCGAAGGCAACTTTGCAAAAATTGTGCGCATATTAAAATTCTTGGTAAAAGCTTTTGACATAAATTAAAACTTTTATCAAGAGCCAGGGTATGCCTGTGTTTTCTCAGCTCCTTAAATATATATATATTTTTTTTGCTGCAAGTCTGAGCATGTGTGTGCTTGCCTATTGTCGCTTTGATTCTGTAAGGAGCTAATTGATTGGAGCTCCCCGGTTCTCTTGGCTCCTCCTTCTCGCGAGACTGACACATCGAAGGCTGATTTTTCCAACTTTTTTAATTAATTTCGTAGCCGAATTTCCAAGGAAAACTTTACGCATAGGGTAGCGCATAGCATTAAAAATGAATTTCACTTCATTGCTGCTGCTGCTGCTTGGCTCAAAGACAACATTTTTGGGCGTTAAAATTATTTATGGGCTTACTGTGCGTAACGTGTCGATGTCGCTGTCGCTGGTGTCGTATCCTGGATCCTAAAAGGAGGTGGCGGTGTCACTGTCCTACGTGATTGTCGGTACGACTGATTTTTGTGCCAGTGACAAAACTTTTTCAATAATGTATAAATCAAACTGTCATAAAGTCGCAGGATCGCAGCATAGCAGCTTAGCAGATTGCGAAATCGCCAGGACTTGCACACTTTTTGTTTTCCTTTCCTCACGCTCGCTATCTCTCTCTCTCTGTTAAACGTCAAAAATGCCTTTTTCCGGTGACATTTTCTTAGACAATTTAAGTTGCCATTGTGTCGTCCTTTGCCCTGATGTGCATTTAATATGTGTCCTCCCTGTGTGTGTGTGTGTGTGTGTGTGTGTGTGGGAGACAGACAACGTTTGGACCTCTGTAACCACCCCCGCAGATGTTACCTGTCGTCTATGCCCACCCAAGGTAAGCGTAAGCGTTTTTCACATTCAGGCAAATATGTCACAAAATTTATTGCAAAATAATTTCGCCCGGTTTGTGCCTTTTGTGTGTCGTCGTTATTCTTGGGTTTCGCCATTCGCTGGTGGCCCACTCGCTGCTAGCCACTCGCCACTTAGCGTTTAAGATGTTTAAGTATGTGTGTGTGTGCTGGGCTCTCCTAGAGCTTTCTTCCTTTGCTCTTCCTGCATATTAAAATATTAAAAATTCCTTTTATATCCTTCGAAAAAAAATTTGTCTCATCGCTTTTTTAATTCCAGCCCTCCCCCCCTTCCTTTTGAAACTTTTTTGCTTGTTTCTTGAAAGTACAAAAATCGTTTCACTTTACTTTGATGCGAAAATAATCATTTAGCTAAGAATTTTTCATTACTGCAGTTTTTGCCGCTTTTATAAATAAATCAGTTTTTTAAAAGCCAAAAACTATCTTACGGAATGTTAGTTAATAGAGGTTCAAGGTGTTCAATCGCTATTACAGTTGAAATCTTTGAAGTTAAAGGATTTCCTTTACTTTGATGTGGAAACAAATCAATTCAGCCAACAATTTTTTCTTAATATTCCAAATTTTGCCGATTTTATAAAAGAAAACAATTTTTAAAAGCTAAAATCGATTTTAGTTGGGTGTATTTCAGACTCTGTTAAGGTTTAAATGGACCAAAAGCCAAAAACGATCTTCCAGCATTTTAGTTAACAGAGTTTCGTTGTTTTAGTTTACAGCGGTTCGTTTAGTTCGGTTCGTTAAAATCCCTTCTTCCAGCTATTGGAATGGTTGTGTGTGTGTGTGGGAAGGGGCGAAAAACAGGGCTGTTATGCGCAGTGGAAACCAATGAAGTTGCGGTGCAATTAAATATCGGCAAAAGGAAAGTAAGCAAATGTTTGTGTTTGTGCGTGTTTTCGCTCCGTTTGAATGCGGAATATTTTTTACAACTACAAACAGTCCGTTACGTGTGTGAGTGTGTATATACGGAAAAATGCAAATACAATAAAAAAACAGCAAGAAAAATGCAGTCAAAAGCGTGCCAATACATATAAATATACATATGTATGTGCATACGAGCAAGTGTTTGTGTGTGTGTGTCGGTGTCAGCAATGTTGTGGGTGAAAGCAGAAGCAGCGGAGGAGGCAGCAGAAAAGCGAAAAGTGCGAAACGGAAAACAGCGGGAAGCGGGAGAAAAAGAGGATAAAAGGGAGCTGGAGGAAAGGGAGAATGCGTTTGGCAAAGACTGGACTTTGGTCCCCCGGTTCTGATTGATCCTGCGTGTGCGTGTTTAAACAAAAATTTCGCTATGTAAATCGGCAAATAACCCCGGCCGGGGTCTCATTTACAAAGTGTTTTTCGCAGCAGTTTTCCAATGTGTCCATTCCTTGTTTGCAAATGTTTTAATTGAATTCGAGTGGAGGCCGCCGCCGCCGCCGCCGCTGCACTAAATGTTTAATCGAGCTGATAATTACCCGACCTTGTGCCAGGACTGGGGTACAGTGAAGCCTTCGGACATGGTGAGTATCGATGAACGGAAGCTTCCTGCTTCCCGGTTGAAGTCAACGCCTTGGAAAGCGTTTTTTCCCCAATGATTTATGAACTAATTTAGCGGCAATATTATTTATGCCAGGCCAGACTGAAAGAGAAGCAACGGAAGCCAGCCTGTCCGGCCAGGATAATGCTCGAAAATGCTGCCACAATGTTAAACGCCAACAACCAAAACATCGAAGGCGGCGGCAGAGGCATCGACTGCAGCAGACATAACAAAGTGGAGCAAGAGGAGGTGGAGGAGTAACACCACCAAGAGGAGCAGCAACAATGGGTAAGTCGAGAACTTTAAGAAATTTACACCATCAGCAAGATAAGAGTCATGCCCAGTAGGCGCCGCCGCCAGATCACGAAGCCAGGCAGGCAGGCAGGATGCACCACCGGAAGGGGGTTTGGGTTGGGCTGGGTTGCTCCTCCTTCGCTGGCAAAGAAGTTCAAACTAAGCTAAGGAAATTTCTGCTGCGCGGGCACTTTTTCATGCGCCTGTGTTTGCAGCAAACAATCTGTTTCCCGGGCATCAACTTTGCTAGAAAAATTGAAACAAGCTGAGCGAACAGCACAGGCCAGGGAAAGGCCAGGCCAGGGCCAGGGCCAGGCTAGAACAGACGAATATCTGGATGCAGGGTGCAGTGGCAGCAACTACCAACTTGTGGCTGGGGCATGTATCATATTTAGACACGGGAAAGACAGAAATATAAACTTATAAAGACCAGGAACAGGATCCCCCTTTCCAAAAAAATATTTGGTATATATATAGTTGCGGAGGCAAGCACAAAAACCATATTTGGCAACTGCCAGTCGAGGAGGAGTAGCAGCAGTTGAAAGGACTTTACAGCGCGCCCGACTGATGAATTATGGCCAAAGTTATCGGCTGAGGTCGGAGGAGGAGGCTTTTTGCAATGTTTTGCTACACTGCGTGGCAACTACTGATAATAAGATATACTTGCCATTCGGACAGGCCCAGCCGGAAGTCTACTAAATAACAAGTTGTAGGGCCAGCAGCAGCAGCATGTGCTGGCAGCAGGCAAAAAAAAAATAAAAGAAAAAAGTACAGTAAAGGGAAATAAAAGAGCAACTTAAATAAGTTTAATTGTACGAGACGGAAGTCGAAACTTTGCCATTTGGCTTGGTTGACTTCAGTTCAGTGGGCCGCGTTTCTCTTTCGTCTTTCTGCTTGCATCTTCCTGTTCCTCTCCAGCTTTGACCTCCGGCTCCTCACTCTTCAAGTGCAGTATGATAATGGGCCAGCAGCTTGTTTTTTATTTCTCTGGAAGACTTTTCACCAATTATAAACCATTTCCGGGTTCGGAAATGCTTTTTAAAGCAGTGTTTTGATATCTTTTATGGCTTTGTCTGCCATGTACAAGCCTGCCATGTACAAGCATTTAGGGAATGTGAGCGGAAAGCTGCGAGATTTTAGAATTTGTTTCTTTTTCTTTTAGAATACCTTCACCAAATATAAATTTATAACTTCCTTCGGAGTCTGAAGTGCTTTCTTAAGCAATCTTTTGATATCTTTCTAGCTTTCTCTCCTCCGCTTTGTCTGCCATGTACAAGCATGTAGGGGAAAGCTGACAGCTTTATAATCCTCTTCAGTAGAATTCATCACCTTTCTAAGCATTCTTTTAAACATTTATATATATAAAAAAATATAAGAATCAGCATACCCAAGAGTTTTAAGTCAGTCTACACCTTGACTGACAGCAGGGACATATCAGAAAAACTGAACCCATATATTCTGAGCGAGACATTCCCTTATGATGAGCAGCCTCATTAACTTTCTGAACTCCAAGTTCAAGCCCACCGTGGTGAGTAAAGACGCCTGCGAGGATGGCTTTACGGCAGGCAATCTTGTCGCCGAAGATGCAAGGCAGCTAGAGCGGGGTTTTAAGGGCTCCACCATCTGCAAACTGCCCGTTGAGATCGTCTTCGACTTTCCCAAGGCCGTCGACATGAAGATCATCAAGCTTTGGCCCTCCATCGGGGCCATGCGCTGCACGGCTTTCGAGCTCTATGGTCGCCACAATGGCAACTGGGAGCGTATAGCCTTCGTAAAGGATCTGCGCCATAACGTGGACTCGGTCATTTTCTGCTACCGAAACGACTACAGCTCCTCCATCACGGAGCAACCTCACAGCGAGAAGTTGTTCTTCTTGAAGTCAGCTCGCAAGATTCTGGCCAGCACCAACAGCATCAAGGTGGTCATCCTGGCCACCGAAGGCTGTCCGCCGGTGCTGCGTAAGGTGGAGATGTGGGGTCTGCCCGCCCGCTCACTGGACAAGGCCGACAGAGAGCAGGTGAAAACCATTTGGAGCGATATCCGCGGTTTCTACGGCCAGGACGATGTCCCACCGAGAAATTTTGATCCAACAACCATTCCCCAGCTAAAGGAGCAGTCCTCATTAACCATTCCAGATAAATTCCTGGACTCCATCACCTTGGAGCTAATGATGCACCCCACTGTTTTGCCCTCCGGCAAAGTGGTAGACCGGTCCACCAACGACAGGTTTGCCGCGGAGGAGGCCAAGTGGGGCCGCCAGGCATCGGATCCTTTCACTGGCCTCGTGTTCAATGCCGAGCGTAAGGCCAAAAATAACTTGGACCTAAAGACGCGCATCGAAGAGTTCCTCATTAAGCATTCGGAGCACTTTAAGATGGTGCCACGTTACCTGGAAGCTTCCTGGATACGTCGCCACTTCAGGAAGGCAGCTGACAGTCTGAACAAGCAGCAGCAGGCTAAGAAAAGGTCCAACTCCTCATTGGCTTCTGGATCACCATCCTCATCGCCGGCGGCCAAGAAAGCAAAGCTCAGCCACCAAGGCGATACCTTGACATTCAGCAGCGCATTTACTTCGGCCTCCTCATCATCATGCTCCTCCATCGACCTGGCCAACCAGCAGGCCACCTCTAGCACCAAATTGGGTTTACCGGCCAAGTGCATTAACTGTCGTAGCGCCCAGTTTCACTACGAGATTCGCACCTGTCGCCACGTGGTTTGCAGGGATTGTCTGGCTGCACTTTTCCGTTGCCAGGTGTGCGCCTGCAAGTTCTCCTTTCTTGCTGCCGACGTGAAGCGTTACCAAAATGTTGGATCCTTAACCATCTAGTGCACAATTAATTAAAAATTATTTTTGGATTCAGTATGTGAATGTTTGTTTTAGAAAAAATTTTACTTTTGCTCGGATCGAGTTTTATATGACTATAACCTTGGACTGCATGAAGGCGGTTTTGGGAAGATAGGCCAACAAAAAATTAGGTAAAAATTTTTTTTTTGTTAAAATGTTTATTATAAATGTCCTTGAGACTATCAGCAACACAGTACAATTTTTTTTCCATTTTTTTTTATATATATATTTATACCAATCATTCAAAGGATCAAGAATTTCTACTTTGCCTGCAATGCACTAGCATTAGACATTGTTTCTTTTTTCAAAAAAATAAGCTTTTTATCTTTTTTTATCAATACCAATTATACTTTCAATATAGAACCTTTACTACTTTGCCTGCAATGTACAAGCATTCGAGGTTGTTTCTTTGAGTTTCTCTTTTCAAAAGGAGACTCATTTAAGGAGGTATTTCTCGGGTAGCCTGTTGCAAGTTAAAAACTGCTTATATTAAAGACACTTCTTAGATTATTTTCTTACAATATATCTTCTTTTTTTCAAGTGTATTTAAATCTCATTCACAAGCTTATTTCCCACTATTAACCCAATCATATATTTGACCATGTAAATTGAATTCAATTTCAAGCCTTTAAAAAATTGCACTCACCGGTGGTGCGGTCTGCCCTTTGCCAAAACCGAGGTTGGGCCAACGATTAGCCAAAAAGGAGAAACAAAAAAGGAGAAGAGGACCAAAAAGCGAGTCCCCTAATAGGATTTTATTTCGCTGATCCCCTGCTGTCCTGCCCTGCCCACCATCGAGTGGAAATCACGGCCGCCTGCCGATGATTGCCGTCAATTGAATGCCAATTGTTTTTCTTGCCCGGCGCTTTTTCTTTTGATACATTTTTGGGCAACGTTTAGTTTAGCATTGCAGCAATCGTTGGGTTCGTTTTTGGTACGAAATCAAACGGTTCTCGGCCAGGGCAGAGAGATCAAGTTGCCAGCATTGGCATTTTCATTTCAACGGGAGTCCTGTCCAGGGACAAAAAGTCTGCAGCTAGAAACCGCCGAGGTGGTGTGGAGGTGGTGTAGAGGTGGTGTGTAGATAGTGTGGAGTGGTAGTGGTTCAATAAAACCGGTTACAGAAAGTAGAAAGTCGTGTTCTGGCCAGAAATGCGCGATTGGAAAATTGGAAGGAAAAATCGTACGTCTATGATGGGGCACTCCTTCTGGTCAGGACTCCATCAATTATGACAGTATGTTCTGAATAGTGTCAAAAAAGATGGAATAATTGAATTGAATGATGGCTTAACAGGGTTTATAACTTATTTTTCAGTGGCAGATATTTTCTTGGCTTGCCGACTATAAAATTTAAAAAAAAATTCTTTTGATCATTTTTAGGAAAAAACCAAATTTGTAAAATTCTTAACTAAGCTAAAAATGCATTAATTTTAATTCGGAAAGCTGTTCTGAGTTAGTTCTTAGAAGGTCTATAAAACTGCATACTAAATTTAATTTTAATATTTACCTATAATTTTATGAAATTTTTTATATTATTTTTGTAAAAAACCAAACATAAAAAATCCATAAGGCAATTCTCTTATAACCTTTTGGCAGGTGTGGTGTACAGGTGCACTTAGCTCTTGGACATCAGTTACTGTTTTTGGCAAGGCTTGAATTTGGCAGGAAGCTTGTCTTCTTTGGCACTCGCGTTCCCTTCGATTTGGGTTTGGCAGTAGAAGTGTGGCAAAACGAATTGAGTTTGTCTCTAATTTACATAAAATGGCAATGCACAAATGCTGGAAATGCACAATATATATGAGTACTTTGACCTGAAGTGCCACGCATACAACCCCACTCCTCCTCCCACTGGTATATCTCTTCCACACCCACCCACAAATAGAACCATCTTAGGGTAATTTATACAAGGACCTAGTGTGGGGTTGGGACAACGTAGCAAAGTTTGCTGGCAAAAAGCGCAATGGCAGCTCTGAGAAGGGAAATTGTACTAGGAAATTTGCCGGAAATTAAAACTTGTGCAAAATAAATCGCCAAACCTCGAAATACGGACACACACACACAGGCGGGGGCAATATTTACACCCAGGAAAGGGAGCTCAGAGAGAGAGACTGGGACACAGACACCGGCTGGGCGGAAGATCGATGTACTTGCTGGCAAAACTTATGTAGCCTTTAAAAGCCAATTGGCGCAACCCGGCTTCCCCGGATTCCTGGCTTACACATAATGGTCCCGAAAATCTGAAAATCTGACCGTTTTTCAAGGAAGTTGTAGGCCAAAAGCAGAGCAGCACATTTTGCGCTGGATTTGCCGCTAATGGAGTGACAGTTGGCCAAGAATTATTAGATTTGCACATGCATACACAGCAGGAGAAAAGGAATGAATCGAAAACGTGATTGCCTGCCCAGAACCTAGAAATAAAAAAAAAATATAGAAAAAGCAAACACCATGAGCGTAAAACCTAATTTCCTTAATATTCTCCAACAATTACATGATAGCTGGCACAACCCAAACCCATATGGAATGTTGTTTTAAAATCATGAAGTTTAATTTCCTTAATTTGGTGGAACCAGAGACAGTGATTGAGTGACGGACTGGACTATCTATCTATCACCTGGCCTCGCAAGCAGCCAGGTAACCAACCAGTTTTCCTGGGTGTCTGATTTCGTTTGGTTTTTTCCTGACAGCAGGTCATAATGCATGTAAACTCTGCCATCAACTCTCTCTCTCTCTCTCTGTTTTAATCAACTTTAATTAAAATTGCACACAAAAACCCCCGAAAACGACTTGATAAAACGCCATTAACTGGGGAGAGGGATGGCGGTTTTATCGGTTCGGTTTGGTGTGGCTTCTGTGCAAAGCTTTTAATTGATAAGTGTGTGTGTGTGTGTGTGTGAGTGTGTATGACTCACCCAGTGACTGGCCTGCGCTTGAATTACATTCAAAGCCCACTTTCCACGGCCAACTGTCCAGGGTCTAGAAGAGAGATCCCCTTTTTACGCTTTATGCCACATTATTTCAGGGCTTATGCTCTGGCAAGGAGAGGGGACTCTAGGACAGCTCTACGAAATTACGCTCATTTCAAAATTGTTATTGAATCTTTTGGGCAAAGTAAATAATCCTTGTTGAAATGAAGGAGAAATCCCGTTGCGGCCGCAAGTGGCTTGCCAGGAGCCAAGGCATTGACTAAACGCTCTGGCACAAGGACTTAACCTCTACCCCACACACACCCACACTCCGGCCTTTGTTGGTGTCTCAAGAAGGTAACCCAACAGACAAAAAGTTCGCTTAGGATATTGAAAACGATAGTTTTGCGGATGTCAGGCGAACCAAATATCCGATTCAGACTCATGAGCGATAATAAACTTATTCAGACTCAAGAATTCAGACTCATGAACGATTATAAAATACCCTGTCATGGTTTTATATTTTTAATATTTTTCATATGTAATATTTTTATATATTTTCATTTATTTTTTTTTTATTTTTTATATATTTTTTTATTTGTTATATTTTTTATAGTTTTTATATCTTTTAAATTTTATATTTTATTTGAACCGTCCTTTCTTTCTTTTTTTCTTGGAATCGCTATTCATCCGCTATTCGTTCATTTTTGCGAATGCGGAGAGTCAGATTCTTTGTCCGATTTTTTTTGTTAGCTTACACTTATATTTGTAGCACCAGTCGCATTGTACTTATTATCTCTAGTCCGCTTTTTTGTCTGCTGGGTAGCTGGAGGATGGCCCTGGGTGGCAGTGACGCCCAACTAAATGCTGCCAAATTATACGCAATCATTTTGAGCTTAACTAAAGTGCGGCAAGTCTGCGGCCAAGCAAGGAACTGGCTGAGATGGAGCCGGAAGGCTGAAGCTAAAACTGAACGCTGAGACCGAGGCTAAGACTGCCGGCTGAGGGGTTCGGGGTTGCGGTTCAGACAACAGCGAATTGGTTAGTAGGAATGCCTCAGCTCTCTCTACGAAAAATACGATGACAATGTGTCATCGTAAATTGTTCGTCTTGCAAATGGTCAGGGGAGAAAGGAGGCGTCCTTTCAAATTTATACCTTCATATTAAACTGGGCAAAAAATACAAGCATTAATGGTCGCTCTTCTTGGGTACTTATTTTTTCCCTCCCAAAAAAAAAATCCAAGTTTTCTTTTAAACATTAAAAGAACGAAGAGAGCTTTTTGGTGGTAAATCAACATTTGCTTTGCTTAGAAGCTGCTTAAGTGACCTCGTCTAAACAATTTAGCCACGGAAAAGAGATCTTAGAGAAAATTCATAAGGGACCTCATGAATAACACAGAAATAAAATTGGTTTAATAACAAAAGGAAATTCAAGATACATTTTAAAGAAATGCAAAAGAAATTCACTAGAAATTCATGAAAAATTCACTAAAAAATCAACAGATATTCAAAAGAAATTCACTAGACATTCACTAGAAATTCATCGGAAATTCACTAGAAATTCACTAGAAATTCACTAGAAATTCACTAGAAATTCACTAGAAATTCACTAGAAATTCACTAGAAATTCACTGAAAATTCAAAAGAAATTCACTAGAAATTCAACAGAAATTCACTAAAAATTGAACAGAAATTCACTAGAAATTCAACAGAAATTCACTAGAAATGCACTAGAAATTCACTAGAAATTCACTAGAAATTCACTAGAAATTCTCTAGAAATTCATGAGAAATTTCATGGTTTCTGCCTGGCTATGGTGTGTGTGTGTGTAAAAGTGTGTGTATGGTGTATTTGTGGGCATAAAATGTCAGGATTAAATGAGACACTTTGCGTGGAGTCGTGGCAAAACGTAAAAGCGTAAAAAAGCAAATGCCGCTCAATTTGCAGCACAAACAGAAACGCAAATCAAATAAGAACGCGACAAAAACTGGAGTAGATCTCAAAATGGGGGGAAAGCGGAAAAGCGGAAATAGCGCCTCACTGAGACATTGGGAAATGGGGTGGTGTCGCCGCCATCGT